GAAAAGTGTCTTACTTTTCGTCAAGGTATCCATTCCATACACTTATTTTACTGTACGATTGGTTGACATGCGCGGAAAATTTTCCTTACCCCCCCCCCCAAAAAAAAAAAAAAAAAAAAAATTGAACCAATACCCCATTACCCATATTGACCTTCACAGTTGCACAATAAATGATAATTGGACTTTGAGCGGAATCTATATCAAATTGGTTTTATTTCAAGATTTAGACTCGTTCTAGAAAACTAACATGTTTTGGGAAATATCATAGATTTACTAAATCCACTTACATAATATACAGAATCACTACTATTAACAGTAAGAAAGAAACTTGTTAAAAAGTTGCCGTCCTTAAATAACATCAGCAGCTTCCTTTCACCAATTAATGACCAAACAACGATTACGGAATCCTTTCAGTTTACATAATGAATCACCAGAACTAAAATATCATCAAGACTTATTATATATCACTGCAACCTACATTCAATATGAAAACGTAGCTGTCGGTTTCGACCTCTGGGAGAAGATGTTCCTTCCCCAAAAAACATCACCAAACACCAACTTCCAACATTTCATTCATCCTACGGAGACTTACAGACATTCCTCATCATTTCCTTCACCATTCAACTCGTACCTTGACCAGGAAAGGCTTGCTGGAATAGTTTTTGAGGAGAGCTCCGGCTGGTCTTAGCAGGCGAGACATCTTAGCAAGGGAGATTGCGTATGAGTGAAGGCTCGCGCGCCGGTCCTGGTATATATGTCGCCGGAACACCGCCTCCAAGAGCGAGTCTATAATTTCGACTGCGAGAACTAGCAGGTGAAGGCGGTGTTGCGTAGAGTGATAGACTTGGGTTTAATAGACAGTATGATGTGGGAATCAAATGGGTTAATATATATGCAATTATATATGTACACACACACACACACACACACACACACACACACACACACACACACACACACACACACACACACACACACACACACTCATATATATATATATATATATATATATATATATATATATATATATATATATATATATATATATATATATATATATATATATATATATATATATATATATACAGATAGATAGATATGCATATCTAGTAAGATAGTTAGATATGCTTAGATAGATAGATACTTATAAATATGTATGTATGTATATATATCATATATATATATATATATATATATATATATATATATATATACATATACATATATATGTATGTATACATACATACATATGTATGTATGTGTATATATAAATATATACATATATATATATATATATATATATATATATATATATATATATATATGTATGTATGTATGTATATATATATATATATATATATATATATATATATATATATATACATATATATATATATATATCTGTGTGTGTGTGTACGTATATATATATATATATATATATATATATATATATATATATATATATATATATATATATATATATATATATATATATATATATTATACGTATATATTTAGCCGTGTGTGTATCTATTTATATTTACATATATACTGCACACGCAATCGCACGCACGTAAAAGGAGAGGAGACTCACGAATCTATAGGAAAGATACACGTTTTCTCGCAACATCCAAGCTTTAAAGAAACTATAACCAAACTATAACCTATGCTATACAGTACCTTTGATAACCTTTAGAACAGAGGTTCTAAACCTGGGGTCCACAGACACCTAGAGAGTCCATGGATGGGTTTCAGGTGGTCTGTGATCAGTTAAAATTTAACATTCCTTTTTTGCATAAAATGGAGTGTGTGATTTTTTTTTTAGATTATTTACTTTAACAATTAATAATACTTTGCGTATTTCATGTATGCATGAAACAATCAAATCTTGATAAATAAAGTACATTGTGCATATTCCAAGCAGAGTTGTGTTGTTATGTAAATATTTCATCAGATTCTTAAAGGGGTCCGTGACTCTTAAAAAGGTTAAGAACCACTGCTCTAGAAAGTTCTACGGGCAAAAGCTTGAAATTTCCGAAGTATAACACCTGATTATCGGAGAAGGGAAAATAACAAAGTTCGATGAGTAAAAGAGGAATATTGAAGTTAAAGGGGAACCTGAAGAGACGATAGTAAACATTGCTGGGCGTGTCTGAGACTTTCTCAATTTTGATCTAGAATATTATACCCAGAGTAAATGAAACTATTTCAACTGTATATCAAAAACTGTTATTCCAGTGTTGCGTTCTTAGGCTACATTTTTTTTCGTCTCTGCTTATCCGTCTATTTCCCTTTGTCTTTGTCTTACTCGCTATCTGTTCTATATATTAGGAGGGATTTTACTGGGTAGATAGTCTGATTTTACTGGGTAGATAGTCTGGGAGCTGATTTGGTATTGTGGTTGGCTGAAGGAGTGTCGCGCTGTGCAATCAGACAATTGGCTTCGAGTGTCCGGTGAAGCCCTGAATGGAGCCTGGAGGAGACCTTTTTTATACTGATTGAAGACTGGATCAAGAATATTACAAGGCTGATATAGACGGCGAAGTACAGGTCGAAGGATCAAAGGGCGTGGTCTATGCATAGCTGGTCGAGGCTACAGAAAATTCATCCTTGACAAGTCTTCCCATGAAAGACGGACAATAATTGGTTGTCCTGTTAGTCAGAAGGTGTGACCCTGATTGGAACCTGGATGTTACTCAGAGTGAACGAGCGAGTATGTACGTCAATCAGTCAGTCAGTGAGAGAGTGAGTGGTGCAGCCAGTCAGTCAAGAATGAGCACTCTGGATCTTTCGCCAGCTAATTTTTTTTCTCGAAGCTTCGGAGATCCGTGAAGAGATGAACCCAAGCAAAGACCACCGAGTACTCATATGAATTAATTAATATCCAGATCATTCACTTTCGAGGCCATGTTCTCCTTGCCAAGGGATGCAGCGACTACTGAATAATGATGATATTGAATAATATTAAACCCTTTAAAGAGGTTATTGACGTTCTTCCTTTTTCGTCACGTTTTTTGGAGGACTGCTATGGCCGTCTCACTTCTACACTCCCTTTCTTTCTGTAAGTCTGATTAAATGCAGCTTCGTTGAGTGGTCATAGGGAGAAGGATCTGAACCATTAGGGAAATCATGACGACATAAGTAAACGTACAACCTTATACTGAATAACTGTCTACAATTATTCAGTATAATATAATAACTGGCTGCCCATGCTGAGGATTTTTTTTATTACAAGGATTCTTTCGCCTTCTCGTCGATTCTCAAATAACCATCCTTTATTATCTAATGCAGTGATGCTATGATGAATGCAAATATTATTCATTATACATATCCCAACACTACACGGTTCCACAGACTATAATTTCAACGAATTACGAATTTGTAAAATCAATTAGGCTCACACAAAATCAGAATGTTTGTCACCAACCACTAGATGCTAAAGCAGCTCATATTTGCGGCATCCCCGTTGAATTGTTAAAGGTTGGTGGTGAACCTATGGCGCGGGGTTAGCATACTGTCCCTGGCAGTCTGGCACTATTCCCCTGATCTGTCATCCCTCTCTGGAAGGGGAAAGAGATCGATGATGGACCTGCAACAGTTACCTAGACATTACACTGCTCAGCATGCCAGGCAAAATTCTTGTTCACATCCTTCTGATGTCACGTACTGAAGCATCAAAGGCCGATGCTCTTCTCCATATCCATAGTGGAGCAACACTGGGTAATGCCAAGGTCACCAACCTTGACTTTGTTGCTACCCTATCTGAGTCTCTGGAAACCCTCGTGGCGGTTTTAGATGCATTTACCAATGAAGCAAAACGCTTTGGTTTAGACCAAGACCAAGATCTATGACTTTGAGGGCTTGCTAGATGAACTTGTTCAGTCGGTACATGCTTGCAGTGAGGATATTAAATTAATTAAGTTTTGCATACCTTGGTAGTGTTCTTCATGACTCTGGGCTGTCAGACCATGAAATCAGCAGACAGATTGGGCCGGCAGCAGTGTTATGAACTCTCTCAAACAAGAGTATATGAGATGCTGTGTATGTGTGCAGATTAAGCTGCCAGTTTACTCTATGAAGTGAAACGTGGACACAATCCTGTCTTACTGTCTTTTGAAACAGGTCCCTGTACCTGATTATGAGGCACAGTTGGCAGGACCACGTACCCAACCGTGAGACTGCCACATTACTTGTTACCCCACAATACGGGACCGCCAACTCAGGCTATATGGATACCTGTCTCACTTCCCTCAGGAAGTATATATATCTGTGTGTGTGTACACATATATAATTGCATATATATTTGTATCTGCTTACTAGGTTGTCTGCCCCGCGTGAAGGAGGCATGCGAGACGACTAAGAAGTCGTAGCTTGGGCAGATTGGTCAGACCTATCATAGAGAAGGGCCGACACCCTGACTGGGGGCTTATCATGAGGGACCCCCTTAAGTGGAAACAAAGGGTGTGTCCAGCTATGCTCTCCAACAGTTTTAGCCCCCCATTTACTGACTGATTGTCACCAACATTTGCATGCCTTTTCTGAAATCCCAGGAAATTCCTCAGCCACTTTTGGGTTGTGTGTCCTCCTCTCACTGGCCCTTGGACATAAATATAGACCTTGATGGGACATGTCACAGCCGTTGGTAAGGTCTTGTAAATCATTGCTTTAATACTGGATTTTGAGATCTTAACAAGCAATACAGAAGATTTGCATCCACACATTAGGTGCATACAGTTGGAGCGCCGCGTGCGCGCGTTCACACACACACTCACACTCACACTCACACTCACACACACACACACACACACACACACACACACACACACACACACACACACACACACACACACTCACACTCACACTCACACTCACACTCACACTCACACACACACACACACACACACACACACACACACACACACACACACACACACACACACACACACACACACACACAAAAAAAAAAAAAATTATATTTGCAAAGGAAAAGTAAAGAACGCTTAAAGGTTAATATATATTTATTGCATGTATATTAATTATTATCAGAATATGAAAACTTTATTGTGACCCTAGAAGAATACTGAACATTTAATCATCCTGATTTCTCTTTATCAAACCATATCATATGCATTTATAGTTGCCAACTATACCTGATAAGAACATAAAAGCTTTGACAGAAGTTATAAAATACTTGCTTATAACAACTACTGAACACCAGTTTCGACAAATAACAATATGAAAATATCTGGATTTTCAGTATTTCAATTTACTAAATCCTGGTCCTTGTTCTTTATAAGTGTATGTATGTATATATATATATATACATATAATACACCAATGATAATGCTAGTGTTAGCATTTAACCAGTCTTTACAAACCAAAATCCTAGTCATTATTTATTTATCCAGCACTCTGTGTGCTCCACTTTAGCCTTAAAAAATATCAATCGGTGATCTGAAGCACATGCAACATATCCTTCAACCTCTACATCAAATTTTGTGGCACATACTCTCTCTGTCCTGAGTCTTACTTTTGAGTTTCTATGGAAATCATATTCTTCCATGCATTAAAGTTAACCACACACCACATCATATATATATATATATATATATATATATATATATATATATATATATATATATATATATATATATATATATATATATATTACTAAGTGAACTTCTGTTCCTATAGTCCTTTACCTAGCTACATAATGAGTATATGAAATATTACATATTCAGAGAATTGAGAAGCACATAGCAATACAGGGCAAAAGTTACTACAGGAGGCATTTCCAACAGGATCTGGATTACAGATTTAGGCATTTTCCAAAAACACAATTAAATATACATAGATATTGAGTGATAATGAATAAAGCAGGTAATTACCATCACAAAGTATAAGCATGCTATATAATTACTGTATATATAAAAATATATATAAAATAATTACTAAAAAATATCAGGAAACACTTTTACATCATATATAATAGTTTATATATCATCCAGCTCTAATATGAATTTACTTCTCACACACTGTCATGACCCATATTTGTTCATTACACTTTGGTCTGAAAACAATGAGTATACAATCAATTATAGAGGAGATGTCCTCAATACACATTAAAAGTTACTTAGATTCTTTGTGACTACAGGTCTTAAGTAGGATCACCTTATCATATATTGTATTTTTTTCTGCTGCTCTTTGGGATGCACTAGAATGTATTACAATAAAAAACAAGATAATGCAACGTGCAATCTTTTCAACAATAGAATAAAAATAAAAATAAATTGAATCATCTTTGTTTTCATTCCAACAAAATAAAACATACAAGAACCCTTTATCTAGCATTGCCTTCAATAACTAGAAAGAGCAGAATGAAAATTATATGTGTAAAAATCAAGAACTCTTGATAAAATACATCAGTCAAACTTACAGAATTTAATACCACAACCTTAGTGATGGAAACCACTAACACCTACAAAAGCTCTAAGATATATTAGAGTTGGTCACACTAAAAATTCTTCTTTGCTGAGATCACAGCACCTAAGGAACAATGGCGCTTGTGGCCATCTGGTTCACTCCACATGTGCCATCTCCTCGGTACACGCGGTAGTATCCCTGTAAAAAGACAATTTTCAGAAAATATTCACAGTACATTATGAATGTAAGTATCATAACCAAATTGTTACATTACATATAAATGACTTAACTTCTACTGCTGTTTACTTATTGTTATTATCTCTATTTTTCCATCTCTTTTCCTCTAGAAAGAAAGAAAAGTAAACAAGGCAATACAATGGACCATTTCTTTTACTTAAGTTTTTAAAAAATTTAGTCACACTAATCTGTTATTCTTCTTGACACATATATTCCAAGATCATGTTCTTACCACAGTCTTATCCTTTTTCTCAGAGAGGACATTTTTTTCTTGCTGTTTCAAGGCCTTTTGACAATAGTAAGTATCAATTTTCATACTGTTCATGGTTTCTTTATGACAACTGATTACAGGTACCTATTTTGTGACCATTCTAATTCAGGTGGTCTTTTTCAGCTCTTCACGCCAAGGAATTCTGGACTAGGATGTAAACCTCAATCAAATCTGTTGCTTAACAACAGGAAGGTTTCTACACCAATTTAATGCTTAAGACGTAGTTTCCTTGAAAGTTTGTATTAAACTTTTTTCATAGGTGCAATCTATGAGTTTCACTTCATCCATCCAATATATGTTTTTTTATTTATTTATCATAGATTACTATTTATCTTTTCTAGCACTGACAGCTCAAGTGTATCATTTTGAAATATGCTCTTATTGTAATCCTTACTAATCTGGCAACCAGACTAAATGATCTGATGGTGTTAATAGTTCATTGCTAGTATTCTTTTCTTGCATTTATACGGTTTCTTGGAATATGTCACAAGATCTTTTCTTTTGATTTCCTAAGGTCTTTAATTATTCTCTGTCCCTGTTAAGTAGCTGTTATTTTAAAAAGGTCTTCTAGGAAGCTTAACCATTATCTTGTCCAAAGCATTTTTTACCTTCCCAGTATTTCTAATCATTGTTGTGTACCTATTATCAAATATTTCTTTGCTAATATTTAATCAAACTTAATTTTTTTATTATTGGTAAGAAATTTTGTTCACTGTAAGTTCTGTCAAGGTTTCTACAAACAAAACATGAGAAGTTGACAGAATTTCTTGTTAATTACTTATGCATTTTAATGATCATCTCATGTTTTAGCTGTTCACTTTATACACATATATATATTTTAGTTTTTTCTTCTTTTTCTTTATGGTTTCATACACACCTATGATCTAAATTTATTCCTCTCTTTCTTTCTATTTTTCCAATGTATCACAGAATACAGACTGCTTTACCTAAAAAAAAAAAAAAAAAAAAAAAACCCTTCCTCCTACCATCTCTGTAAATCTTAAAAAAGCAAGTACGTTATACACTAAAAACAGGCTTGGGAGAAAATAGTAAGTGAAGGAGTACACAAAGAGCCAGGAAAAATCAAGCTCAGGTGGGCAACATGAATAGTACTTTGGCTTTGGGCTTCAGCAAATTGGTACTCCACAGTTTCTGTTGCATGGAAAGTGTTGTTGACTGGGATAAAAGTCAGGAGATGTAGAGCTTTTATTGAGTTTGATTTGTGGGGCACCACTATTGCATTCTTCGTTAACCAATTGTGAAGCATAATCTACATTTATTACAGTTATCCTAAGGCAATATATATGACTAATATCCACACATATCCACACCCTTTCAAAAATTATTGTTACTAGAGTTCCATTTTGCAGAAACCATATTGCAAACTGCAATGTTCCTCTGTACAAAATGCAGTTCATTGTCCCCAAATATACAAATGACTATGATCAACATTCACAATTATCTTAATTTCACACAGCTTAAAATAGCCTGTTATCTACTGCCATATAAAAACTTAAGGACAAGTCTCTGATTAACCAGTCAATCATGATCAATCGCTTCCCCTAATGCTTGGTAGGTTGTGCTCAGGCAAAGGTTAGTGTGTGCACGGCATTGTCTAAGCAGTGATAGTAAAAACACTTTGTCTGCCTATTTTACAAAGGTTTGGAAAATGGTCTGGTAATGAGAAATAGTCATATAATCTACTTATAAGATAGCTATTCATGATTTTTATATGAAAGTGTCTTAAACACATTTTTCTGAGGGTTTATGAACCTCTGGGTATATGCATAATGCTTCTTCATTTAGGGTTGTTAATAAATTTTTCCATTTTTTATTTTTTTTATTTAATAATGAATAATTTTGAATATTTCTCATTTCTATTGCATACATATATTTTTCAACTTTTACTTTTTGACTGTTATTATCATTATCTTTAAACCATCCTGCAACCCCCAAAAGCAGCCCAGCAAGAGATTATTCAATCTAGTAACTACCATTCCAACAACTAGTGTTCAGGATCCACCCACTAAAAAGTGCATGCATGTAATTACTAATAAAAAATAACATCAATAATAAAAAAAAATCCTGGCCTGTTAGTCTGCCAATGAAAAGTTCATGAAATGTCTGGATTTTCCCATGAACTTCCAGTGACAAGCACCCTTTATCCTGACTACTACATAACCCTCAAAACGTTAATAAACAGGTTACAGTTTGAGTTTAGCTACGAACATATTAACCTCATAAGTAGCTTCACTCTTCAGTGATCAGTGTTTCATGAAATTCTTAATATACTTTTTGTTTCATTTAGTCATTTAGTTTTTGTTTGAGCTCTGCTTACTGTATGCCACCTAAGCCCTTCATCAGTTGATAAAATGTATACAACCTGTCTCCATGCCTCTTTACAATACAAAAAATAAAACTAGATCAATGAAGAGAAGAACTAAAACACTGTCACTTCTCAAAACCACAGAAAAAAAATCATGCTATACTTTTATCATCGTACAGCACTTGCCTGTTCACCCCATTCCTCTCCCCAGGAATTCTTTACAATCCAGAATGGAAGAGTCTTCTTGAAAACGGGATAGGCTGCAAAGAACTTGGAATCATAAAACTGGGACAAATAATCTTAAAACTGGAGGTGTGTAAACAGCTGTGGGATTTCTGTGCCAACTGCTATGAAATTCTTGTATAGTACATCTCCAAGAAAAAAGAAAGGAAATCCATGCACAAATTGCCCCAGAGCTATTTACACATCATCTCTAGCATACATTTCATCACATACCTTTTCACCCCAATCGGGACCCCATGAATTCTTCACAATCCAATATGGTTGCCTTCTGTGTAGGTATTTTGTAGCTGGCAGAAAAGAGCATTATTTAGAGCATTGTAACATTATATATCAGCCTCATATAGTCCTTCCAGTAGTAGCTGTATAGAGAAGTAATTATTTATATTAAACAGTACATTGAGATTCAATAACCCTGTCTGTCAAGAGGATCAAGAAGTAACAAACAAAAAATAAACACAAAAACATAAAAAGACAAATATAACTGCCAGAATTCATAATCAATGTTTAAAAAGCAGTTTCAAACTTTTATGCTAACACACTGTATGCTTTGTTCCCCTTATATCAGACTACAAAGTCAAACTTTAGGAACAGTGCAAACAAAAATTTGTAAATAATCTATCAGTACATCATTCCAAAAACTGCCTGCAAAAATCTTATAATAAAAAAATCCTACTATGAACTTTCATGAATGAATAAATAATACATTTGTAAAAAGTCTACCTTACCTGTTGTCTCTATAAATATTCTCAAAATATGGCAACTCTCCTTTAGTCCATCACTTCCTCTTTTACCAAATAAACCTTTCAATTTCATCTAACAGTAATTTCTTTAATAAACCGGTTACCAAGTTTTAGAAGAAAGATATGGGGAAGACGCAGGTACTTACTGTGTACACCATATCCAACAATCAGCATGCCATGATCCAAGCTCTTGGGGTTGCACAGGAACTTCAAGGGATGGGAGACTCCACCTACGTAGAACTGGAATAGTTGGGAAATTTATTATTTTTAAAAAATTCTCTTTATCTGACTTTGACACTGACTCACTCGCTTGTGCACACACATGCATGCACACACACACATGCACACAAAATCTTACGATAAGTTTCAATCCTATTTAACCAAAAGAAAAAAATATATATATATATATTAACAATAATAATAAATATAAAAATAATAATAATAATAATAATAATAATAATGAAAAGACAAAGAACAATAATAACAACAACAACAACTCACCTGCAGAGCATTGGCATTGATTCCAATAGAGATGGGGCCGTGCTTGACAAGCCACCTTGCCAAGTCATCCTCGTTCTGAGGAAGCTCCACTGATCCATTGACGGTAACCTTCACCTGAAAAGTTTAAATGGTGTGAGCTTTTCACCTAACATTATTTAAAGAAAACACATCTAAAAAAATACAAATTTTAAATCCAAACATTTCTTATCTTATTTCTTATATTTCTTATGTGTAACATAGTTAATAATTCCTTTTTTATTCTTAATTATCATCTGCTACTTCTCATGCATTCATCCTTTCCAAAGATTCTTTTTTGCATAAAAATGATAAAGAGTGTTTCAAAACTCTTAATCTCTGAAGGAACCATAGGACCAGTATATACAAGGATATATATCTGAAAGATACTAATCAGCAAACCATGAGACAGACATAAAACAAACATAATGAAAATGACAATCTTTCAAAACCAAATACTGAAAAGCTACTACTAGATGTTAAACACATGCCTCAGCATTTTAGGACTGAGCAATAGACAAAAGATGAAACAGAAGAAAAAAGGACAGTATGAACAAGATGAAAAGGGAGAGAAGACAAAAAACAAAAACAAAAAAACTACGAGGATTGAAAAGTCAAGAAAAGGAAGAAGAAGAAGAAGAAGAAAAAAAAAGTAAGTTTCAATAGCATATAAATATCAATACCTTATTTTTATTGAAGTGACATGTATCATCCTTAGCTTCATAAGGGTAATCGTTCTCAGACTCCAAGCCACCAAGCTTTGCAATGGCCTCGTAAGCATTTTCAGGCATGCCTCCGTTGCATCCTTCGTCAGTTTTATCGCAGTCAACAAGTTCTGATGTAAAGTAAGAATGAAAGAAAAAAAAAAGGAATCAATTCACAATTTCTGATGGTAAACTGAAAAGTCTACTCTAAATATTTTTGTAGGTAACATATCCCAAACTTAAATAATTTAAAGCAAACAGAACTACACATTTTCAACATACATAAATTAATATTGAAGTAAATGGAAAATGAAATTTAAATGACCATAAAAACCACCATCAGATTTTCTGTTTAATTCTACAATAAAAATTAACACACTTCATTTGATATCAAAATAAACCCAACAAAACATAAAAATGCAGACACACTGTATGACAGCATTTGTATATAAATTTCCTTACCTTGTTCAGAGAGAGAATACAGATGCTTGTGCTTCAAAGCCCACTGTCCTTCAACATTACCAGTCACAGAGAAGGCCCAGCAAGATCCACACATTCCCTAAACGAAAAATAGAGGTAAACCAGATTTACTCTAATCAATAAATCTGATTTAGCAAAGGCCTAATAAATGAGTAAACAAAGAGCAACAATCCTGCACTGGTATTAAATTTCAATATCAGTAAGAGAAATACTGCAAGTGGATAGTTGATCCTGGTAATTCATCGTTATTACACAGCTGGACTCATATTCCATATCAGTCTATGTTTAACTCAATGCCGACGAGTATGACGCGTACGTATGTGCCATGCCCATTGTGAATTACTTGTTTGATTGTTTTTACACATAGATGGCTACACTTGTACTAAGTCACCAGTGAGCCATTTACAAGCACTGCCTGTCTCGTCTGCTTACCCTTTTCTTTGATTTATGAAAATACTTTAAGATATCTTATTTTGTTGTTACTAATGTTTATAACATTATAGTAGTTTTAATGTTTATAATAAAAGTAATGCCATCAACATTCATAGCACTAGTAGAAAATACATTTTTCCCACCAATTCAAATCAGGTAAGGTCACAAGGTCTACTAACTGACTCCTTTGTGGCTAAGCACTAGCAGAGCCATCTATGTGCAGAGACATTTCACAAAGAATATAAAAAATGAGCACAGCATTTTCCCCATTTTTTATTCATTTTCCCCAGTAGCAGTGAGTTAATTCCAATCCCATATGATGCAGCTGATGAAATGCAAAAAGTAAAAAGTAAGTCTGAAATTGTGACAGTGTTAGTACAAGTCAGTGTCACTGCAAATGGCTCTCTGCATGTACAATAGTGTGTGGGTTTGAGTGTTTGAGTGTTTGTGAGTACTGATATGCAACAGATTTAACCCATTCGTGCCGGGCGTCACGTATACGTGACAGGCTCACTGTGAGTTTACTTGTTTAATTGTTTTCACACATAGATGGCTACACTTGTACTTGTACTGCCTGCTTCGCCTGTTTACCCTTTTCTTTAATTTACAAAATTATTTGGTGTTATCTTATTTTGCTGTTACTAATGTTTATACCATTATAGTAATTATAATGTTTATAATGAAAATAACCATCGATATTCGTAACACTAGTAAAAATACATTTTCCCGCCAATTCAAGTAGAGGTGAAATCAGGTAAGGCAGAGCCATCTAGTGTAGAGAAATTTCATTAAAAAATATAAAAAATGAGCACAGCATTTTCCCCATTTTTTGTTCATTTTTACCCGGCACGAATGGGTTAACCCTATGACAGCAAATACCAAATATCACGCAATGACGGTGGTATGCCGAGTTGTGGATAGCACCACATAGTAACATACTCAGCAATTTTTCAATTTTTTGTTATTGAGATAGAGCCACAGGTTATAAGGCACCAAATATTGTGATTGAAATACCAAATGATGGGTCCAAACACAATAAACTGTCAATGTACACAAACAAAATGCACCAAAACTGAACTACATACCTGGTTCTTTACTGGGGTAACAACACCATGATCTCTCCAGTCAAATTCAGTAGGAATATCTCCACTTGGGATTTCAGCAGGTTCCATTTGGGAAAGTGTTGGCCTGAGGTCAGGCCGCAAGCCTAGCATCTGGCGGAATTCGTGTTCTGCAAGAAAATGAAAATGTATTGAGAGAGAGAGAGAGAGAGAGAGAGAGAGAGAGAGAGAGAGAGAGAGAGAGAGAGAGAGAGAGAGAGAGAGAGAGAGAGAGACAGGAAGAGAGACAGGAAGAGAGAGAGAGAGAGACAGAGAGAGACAGGAAGAGAGACAGAGAGAGACAGGAAGAGAGACAGAGAGAGACAGGAAGAGAGACAGAGAGAGACAGGAAGAGAGAGAGAGAGAGAGAGAGAGAGAGAGAGAGAGAGAGAGAGAGAGAGAGAGAGAGAGAGAGAGAGAGAGAGAGAGAGAGAGAGAGAGAGAGAGAGAGAGAGAGAGAGAGAGAGAGAGAGAGAGAGAGAGAGAGAGAGAGAGAGAGAGAGAGAGAGAGAGAAAGAGAGAGAAAGAGGAAAAAAAGGAACAAAATATCTGAAACTGATGTAACCAATCCAATGATCATCTGTCTATCTAACTCACCAGTAAGATCGGCAAACTTGGTGGGTCCGTACTTGGCGGTTCCCTTCTCACTCTGCTGAAGGATGTGGATCTTCTTCATGTTGTGACGGAAGATGCTAAACCTCTTCTTAAATTCATGCTGGCTGTCGTAAGATTTGTTGTGTTTCTTCATGAAACTTTTGAACATGTGGGTGTGGCTCAGTTCGCGAGGACTATCTCCATCTTCTTCCTGTTTTGAATTAAATGAACTTGAGCCTCTTTTGTTCAGAAAAAATACAAGTCCATTTTAATTTTAAAATTTACCATTCATTAGCACTCTGATACCACATATATGTGTATAACTGATTTTCTGGCACATTTTATCCCTGAATTATGCACCTCCAATATCCCATAAAAAAAATAAATAGAGCTGCTCTAGCCACTTAATATTTCTTGCAGCTGTCAAGTCATCCAATCTAGCTATTGCTAGGAACCAAAATTTCTACTTCGTATCCCTTACTAATAAAAAGAGATTGCTGGGAAACCAGAGTCATAAGTGTACATAACCACAGGTAATACATTTATAAAAATAATTATATGATATTCTTTCTACATAGTGCTTGTGCAAGGAAGATTTCTATGCTTGTTCTGTGTATATGTGACGACAGAATAACTGCTGCTACATAAATGTAATACAAGTATTCATCATCATTTATAATGTTGTTAGTTACCTAATGGTTCTTAAATAGGTAAAGAATACTCAAAAATAAGCAGAGAATACTGTAGATACTACAATAATGCCTAATGCACAAAGATTCATACAGACATACTTTTACTTATTATCAAAATGACATCTGTTATTACAAAAATATACAACAATCCACTACATCTGCTTAGCTAGACCTATTACAGAAACCTTAGATTACCTGTCCATGCGATTGCTGATCATGCCCATCTCCTCCGAGAAGAACCT